TACTTTTTTATACATTTTCATTAGTTGAATTTTTTCTTTTGATATATTATACTAGCCGCTCCATGGTGAATTCAGAGTGTTGCCGCTCCAACTGGATCGGCCACTCCAACTGGATCGGCCGTTCCAACTGGATCGGCCACAGGTAATTGTTTCTGAGGAATCAATATTTGATTTATCTCTTTGATGTTTTTAATACGAAAGTATTATTTGGCTTTTTTCACTTCATCTTTGTTAGAACATCAAATAAAAATGTAATTGGGTGTTGAAATTATTACACTGTATTATTGGTTATTGATGTAATCAATGTTGGCTACTATTGTAATCAATTTCGATGGCCGCTCCGAGAACGCGCATGTTATGTGTTATGAAACTATGTTTTTATTATATTCCTATCGTGCCAAACAAAGGTGATGAAAATAATAGTGACACTTGAATCAAAATATTTATTATGTTATAATCATATTTATTTAGAAAAAGTGAAAAAAAATGAATCAGAAATATATGACCGATCCAGTTTTTGTGTGGCCGCTCCACCAGCATGATTGTTAGTTGTGCAGCTGACCAACTGACAAGCAAACTGCAGCGCTAGTGTCTATGTGTCGCTGTCTTTTTCCAGTAGCGAGAAAAATGAGAAAAAAGTGTTTTCCGCTCAATGCCCACTTATGTCACTTTTGCTCGCAACTTCATTTGTTTCTTTTTTGCTCTAAGTTTTTTTCGTTTCATTTATCGGCAAAGAGTTCAGAAGTTGTTATTTTGTTCTTAGGCTGTCAAATGTACCTCACATGGAGCATCTTCTTCTTTTTCTTTTTGTAATATTCTTTGAGCACTTGGTGAATGTCAAACTTCTGTCTCTGGTACAGGACAAAATCACCAAAAAGCAACATGGCTTTACTAGGTGGATTGAAAAGTTGGGTACTTTTTGAATGAAAACACATTTTTTTCGAAAAATTCAATTTTATTTCTCAACATATTACGAGCCCAACGATTTTCCAACTTTTGGATACCACCCAAATAGTACGATTTTTCCAAAGTCCCAAAATAGCTATCTGTTTCGAACTCGACCTCCTCATTGTTGTAAAAACGTCTTCCACATAGCCATCTTTTGAGGTTTGGGAAGAGGTAGTAATCGCTGGGGGCTAGATCTGGCGAATATGTTGGATGTTGAACCAATTCGAAGCCCAATTCGTTCTTTTTTGCCATTGCAATCATCGATGTGTGCGACGGTGCATTATCGTCCAAAAAGAGGATTTTTTTCTTCTTCATATGGGGCCATTTCGATGCGATTTCGACCACCAATCAATCCAACAATGCAGCATAATATGCGCCAGTAATCGTCCTTCCCTTTTCCAGGTAGTCGATGAAGATTATACCGTGTGCATCCCAAAACACACTGGCCATAACCTTCCCAGCCCATTGTTGCGTCTTTGGCCGCTTTGCCGGCGGTGAACCGAGTTTCGTCCACTCTTTAGCCTGTTGACTGGACTCTGGAGTGTAGTGGTGGATCCAGGTTTCATCCATTGTCACTAATCGACGCAAAAACTCACTCGGGTTGCGCTTAAAATGGGCCAAATTGGCTTCAGAAGTGGTTACACGAATCCGTTTTTGTTGAATGGTTAACAAACGCGGCACCCATCTTGCGCATAGCTTATTCATATGCAAATGTTCATGCAATATGTTAAGCACCCGTTCATATGAGACGTTTACAGTCTCAACTATCTCACGAACTTTCATTTTCGGATGATTTAACACCAGATCGTGTATTTTGTCGATCATTTCTGGAGTAGTCACCTCATTTGGACGACCTGAGCGAGCTGCGTCTTCGGTGCTCATACGACCACATTTAAATTCAGTAAACCACTTGTGTAGCACTTTATGAGATGGAGCAGAGTCCGAAACGACTTATTAAACAATCGCCGAACAAAACGATACAAGAAAAAACTACCGAACAAAACGTACCACACCGGTAATGTATAGCACAGCGGAGTTTCGTTTTGAACGGTACCGTCCTGCTGTGTTAAGTTTTTAACGTGTTTTTTGTTTGGTAGTTTTTTCTTGTATCGTTTTGTTCGGCGATTGTTTAATAAGTCGTTTTTATGCTCACGGGTTCAAATGTTCGGAGGTTTGTTGCTTCAAAGTGCTATAACTCATGAACTAATGGTCCAATTTGTCTGCAATTTTGACAGCTTTCTCATGAAGGATGGTACTTGTCAAAAACCATCAGGATTATATATTAGTGCCGCCCTCTCATAGAAAAGTACCCAACTTATAAATCATCCTAGTATGAAATCCAGATCTACTGCATCTAATCTCACCGAATTTATCTACCATGCCCAGAGAGGCATAAATTCTGCTGCGCAAGTGGACGTTCTCTACACGGGATCAGTAAAGCGTTCGACAGAGTTAACCACAAGAGATTGATTCTGAAACTCAGATCGTTCAACCTGCCAGACAATCTTCTTGCTTGGATCGAATCATACCTGTCAAATCGAACACAATTTGTTAAGTACGGAAGCAGCGAGTCGAACGAATTCAACATATCATCTGGCGTACCACAGGGAAGTCATCTCGGACCCACACTATTTTTGTTATTCATCAATGACATAGTGGACGAAATGGACGACGCGTTCATTTCCTTGTTCGCTGATGATGTAAAAATCGCCAAAATCATCAATTCGAGCACCGATGCGGAAGTGCTACAGCGAGCCATCGACAAACTGAAGGTTTGGTGCGACGTAAACGATTTGCACCTGAACCTTGACAAATGTGCCGTCCTTACAATCACCACAAAAAGGAAGGACATCATCGACACTAATTACAAATACGGTGATTTCACCTTCAAACGCGTATTGGACCACAAAGATCTCGGCGTCATCATTGAACAGAAGCTTAGTTTTGTCAAACACATCGACGCAATTACATCGAAGGCGACAGCTGCTCTTGGATTCATCAAGAGATTTTGCTACGACATCACCGATGTTCAAACGCTCAAAACATTGTATTACGCATTGGTACAGTCTCATCTTGAGTATTGTAACGTTGTATGGCTACCAACTTATGCCGTACATATTGACAAAATCGAGAGCGTTTTGAGAAAGTTCACACAGTTCGCCCGAAGAGAGTATCGTACAGCAGCCAACGGATGCAACATCACCGAATATAACAAGCGACTGGAAGCTCTGAGCTTGACTTCGTTGGAACGTAGGAGAGTGAATGCTTCAATTGTGTTCATGTATGACATCGTTAATGGGAACGCAAATTGTCCCAATGTACGGAACGACATAGCAATAGGAGAGAGCGTACGCACGTTACGGCACACTGACTACCTTAAGATCAAAGACAAGCTCATGGACAAGCAAACCAGAGCTCAAGTGCCACAAATGTGCAAATATCCAAATAAAGTGGCTGATCCATTCACAAATTCAACCACCCGTGCTAGCTTCATCACATCGGTGCGCAATGAGCAAAGTCAAAAATTTAATATAAAATACCGAAAAATTTGCATAAAAATATTGTTACATTACTGTGATTTTTTACATATTTCTTTTATTATAGCTACATTGACTGTGATATAGCCATCCACAAGGTTTGTTTAATTTAACTGTGAATTTGATTTCCTTAATTTTTGTCTTGAATTCGGCATGATTTGTAAGACATAGGTTTTGGTCTAGACCGTGGCCAAGGTCGTTCTTGGAGTATTCTTCTGCGGCTGTATAAAAGCAGGCGGGACCTTGAAAAAGAAAATTAAGTATATATGATGTGTGAATGATTTCTTATTTTGGCACTGGCTAAACGTCTAGGGGCATTTAAGTCGAAAACGATGCGTTGTATGCGACGTTTATGCGGTTTAAAATATTATATTTGCCAATCGCACTGCTATATGTAAACAATTCGCAGTATGCGCATTTTATT